TTTAAATATTTTTTATTTTGTTATTGTAATGTGTTGTGATAACAAATTTTTTTTTTAATGACGAAATTTGTTGTGACAACAATTTTTATGACAAAATTTTCTTTAAAAAAAAAAATCTTTATAATTTATTTTTTAATTTTTATATGATTACATTAGCATGTCTAATTTTTTTTTTAAAACTATTCAAATTAAAATTTGCATATGCTTCCACAAGTATAATAATTAAAAATAATAATTTTATACATCTAATTCCAATAAATTTTTTTTTTTTTTGCCACAAGTGTAATATGGATTTATGACATATAAAATCATCTATTATTAAAATAAAATGTAAAAAACTCAGTTTATAATGATTTAAAAATATTGAATATATTGGATCATACTTTAAAATTTACAAAAATTTATCAATATTTATTTTAAAACTCAATAAATATGATTATGGAAAAAAAAATATGCGTATTGGTAAGTTTTCTTCAAATTGTACGAAAAATAAAAAATTCACGGTTCCGGTTACCGCAACCATTACGCTACGCCCTTTACACTCCGCAACCGCAACCGCAACCGCACCACTGCCACCGTTACGGCGACCGCAACCGCTTTTCAGAACCTTGTTTTGGAACAAAGTGAACTAATTTTAATGATTTAAGGCGTTAATTGTTAAAAATAATTAAAGAGACACAAAGGTGAAATTTTTATAATGATAATTGAAGTGACACAAAAGTGAACTGTTTTCTGTTGGAACTCTTCATGGAGATATACTAGTCCTTTGGCAATGTCAAAGGACGATCTTTCTTCTGGTTAGCCAAGCCAGAGCAACCTCTTGTTTCCTGTTAAATATCCACCATTACACATATATTCATAAACTAATTGTTTGCAATTTCTCCGCTCAACATCTGACCAATCTTATTACCAAGTTTGGATGGTGAATACGAAAGACTCTTGACATGGCCTAAGCCATCAAGATGCTGCACTGTAACTTTGGTGCCAATGCATAGAAGAGTCCCTTTAAAAACCAATCCATATCGTCCTTGCCAAAGTTTACTTTTCAAATTATCAGTAGTGACTTTGAGCTCATAGCAAATGTGCATTCCAGGTACTTTATTTATGTAGTGAACAGTTTGGCCATTGAATGCTCAACAGGTTGGGAATTGTTCAAATGTGCAAAATTGATATAAAATGTGATAGAAACAAAAATTGTACAACGCAGATTCGGTTTTTGGTTTTTTTTTTTGTTTTTGTTTTTCCCCCGTTACTGATCAGTATCTGGGAAAGCAAAGATGAAAAACATGGCAAGTGAAAGTGAATTTTTTGTTCATTGTGTCACACTTTTTGTGTTCCCAGTCAAGCTCAAGTTGAGAAAAAAACAAAAGAAAAAAGCAATAAAAAGCACATTCTGCAGACTAAGAGATGTACAAAATGTTTTCTTTCCAAGCAATTCAAGAACATATTTCATCAATTAAATTAATTTTAGTGATAAAATGTCTCTGAATTTCTCCAAACTATAAGCCGGCTTTGTTCCGTCTTACACATCTTTTGGAAAGGAAGTTTGAAAAACCCAATAATTGATATTCTCTTGTTTTACTTGAATTGTTACTTGAATCATGGGAAACTCACATCGTCTCACGGAATATCAATACTTTTCCCTTTTACTACAGAACTTGATCAGAATGTTTGAAGGAAGAACTTGAAGAAAAACCAAAAAGGAAGAATATTATTGGGAGAGCCAAAATTTTATCAGTGAAAAACGCGCTACCTAAAACAGCATTAGTCCTGATACCATGGGGAGTGATTTTCACAAATAAAACTCTTGAATTATAGTTCACCACATATTTGGGCATTCGAGGCCCTGGGTGTGTGAACAGGGTATTTGACAAGACCTTTCACAAAATTAAGCAGACATACAACTCTTAGATAAGTCGTGTACAAATTTCAACCACATCCAGGCAAGAGTGATGTGAACAGAGAACTGTACAAACTTATTAGTCCAAAAAAAAAAAAAAAGTAGAAAAGAAAAAAGGTCGAGAAAGAAATACTCAATACTTCAAACAATCAACTGTAATTTGTTTGTTGAAAACTACTTGCCTTATCTTGGTCCTGATAAAACTGATGGGCTAGCAGTAGCACCAGTGGCATCCTCTTGGTTTCCAGCAACTCTGTTTGCTCTTCGTACCACAGGAGTTGTGAAGTCATAACCCAAATTGTTTTCAACTTCTACAGAACCCTCCAGGACCTTAACCACCACTGACATTGATGGCCTCCTAGAAAAATCACTTTGTAGACACCACACAGCAACCCTCATCATCTTCACAACTTCTTCTCTATGTGTCTGCATGTCATCATTGCATTTATCAACAATATCCATAAGGTGTTCCTCTTCTGCTTTCCTCTTAAATAGATCTAGTAAATCCTCAGGTTGAGAACTATCCAAATTTTTGCGCCCACACAACATTTCTAAGACCACGACACCAAAGCTATAAACATCTACTTTCTCAGAGAAAATTGATTTCAAGCATTCGGGAGGCAAATAGCCTAGGGTTCCCTTCATTCTTGTTTCAACTTGACTTTTGTCCTTATCAATTAGTTTTGACAATCCAAAATCAGAAATTTTCGCATTGAAGTCTTCATCTAAGAGGATGTTTTGGGGTTTGATATCCAAGTGAAGTATTTTCTGCCTGCATTCCTCATGGAGATACTTTAGTCCCTTGGCTATATCCATGATGATCTTCTTTCTGGATTGCCACCCAAGGTCTTGGTGCCTGTGGAAGATCCATGTATCCAAGGATCCCTTGGACATATACTCGTAAACTAGAAGACGATTTGATTTTTCAGCACAAAATCCAATTAATCTTACCAAATTGACATGGTGAATGCTGCCTATTGTCTCAACTTCAGCTAAGAATGACTTCTTAACATGATCAAAACCATTGAGATGCTTCACTGCTATTTTGGTGCCATTGTTTAATTTCCCTTGAAACACTGACCCAAATCCTCCTTTCCCGATCTCATCGTTGAAATTGCATGTCATGGCTCTCAAGTCTTTGTAAGAGAACCTGGTAGGAATCCCTGGTACTTGATCGACAGAGAATTCATCAAGTTCCTTGGATTCTCCTTTATTTCTAAAAAGATAAAAGCAGAAGCCAACCACAACAAAAACAACAAAGAAAGCTCCGAGAATGGACCCAAGTATGATTATTATGAGTTGCCTTGGTTTTCTTTGAGAAGAATCTGCTGGTGAAGATGCAGATGGAGCAACAACAACAGCAGCAGAATCTGCTGGTGAAGATGGAGATGCAGCAACAACAACAGCAGGAGAGGGAAATGGAGATGGAGATGGAGGTAGAGGTGGAGAAGGAGAAGATAGAGGTGGAGATGGAATATAAATAGGATTACGAGATGGAGGTTGGCGATTGCCCTTAGTTGCAATGGATAAGAAAGGAAATGGAGGTTGGGCGTTGCTGAAAGGTGCAGAGGATAAGAAAAAGGTGATAATAGCAGCAGCAGCAGTAACATAATAATAAATAGTGCAACAACAACAACAACACAGATCCATTAGAACTCTGTTTCTTCTTCTTGATTACTAGTTTTTGGTTTTCTTTTGTGGGGAGAAGAAGGTTGAAGAAGAAAGGTGAGCTGTAAACTCCAGCTTTCGTCCGGCAAATGCAGAATAGCGAGGAAAGTGATGCTTTTACTGTCCCCACTCCTTTTGTCATGTCAAAAAAAGGAGCACACATTTCTTGACTCAAAAAAATTAAACCATTCAACTTCTTTTTAAAAATTAAACCATTCAACTTCCTTTTAAAAATTAAAATAATATTTTAGAGCACTAAATTGGGAGTTCTAGAGCATCACTAATGATGCGACACGATAGCCCCCACTAAAGTAATGTGATGTTTTGGCTTGAGTTTGTTTGTTTGTTTTTTTTTTTTTTTAATAAGCTCATTAAAGCTATTAGTGATTCAAAAATTAGTGAGATGAATCACCACTCTAAAAATTAAACCACGTCAAAAAATGGAGCACACATTTCTTGACTCAAAAGCAGTCCAGATCCTCTTCAGTCCTCCTCTCCTGCTCTTCATCCGGTCGATGGACAAGATTTCACCACGTCACTCATCACAAAACCTACTGTCCATATTAACTATAAAAAATTAAAAATAAAAAGTTGAATGATTGAATTTCATTCAACACACTGGCAGTGTGTCTGTCCCACGTCAACTCACACATACACTCCACACACACACACTCTCTCTCTCTTCTAATAAAAAATTAAAAAAATTTATTTTAATCTTTTTAATTTTATTTTCATAATATATATAATTTTTAATATAAAATTTTAATTTTATAAAATTAATATCATTAAAAATACACCTTTAAAATGAGACTAATATTAAATATAAAAAATTAAAATAATAAAAAGTAATTACTATGTTTAGTTATGTTTTGAAATTATTATTTTTTAAACATAAAAATTAATTTGATAAAATAAACACACAAAAATCATATATTTTTGAAATTCTCAAAAACAATCTTCATTTCAAAAAAATCATATGAAAATAATTTTTTTAAAGGAAATAAAAAAAACACATAAATCCAATCTTTGCATTTAAAAAAAAAAAAACACTTAAATCTAATTTGTGCATAGGTGCAAATCAAATACAACATGTTTTTTTTATTTTCATATGATTTTTTTTTAAATGAAATATGTTTTTGAGAATTTCAAAAATATTTGATTTTTGTGTGTTTATTTCATCAAATTAATTTTTATATTTAAAAAATAATAATTTCAAAACATAACTAAACATAGTAATTACTTTTTATTTATTTTAATTTTTTATTAAATATATTTAATATTAGTCCCGTTTTAAAGGTATATTTTCAATGATATTAATTTTGTAAAATTAAATTTTTATATTAGAAATTATATATATATATATATTATGAAATAAAATTAAAAAGATTAAAATAGTTTTTTTAATTTTTTATTAGAAGAGAGAGAGTGAGTGAGTGTGTGTGTGAGTGGTGGACTTGACGTGGGACAGAGAGTGTCAGACGTGGATTGAGAGAGAGTGTGTGTGGAGTGTGTGTGTGAGTTGACGTGGGACAGACACAGTGTCAGTGTGGGTTGAATGAAATTCAACCATTCAACTTCTTTTTCTTTTTTTTTTTTATAGTTAATCTGAGCCGTAGGTTTTGTGATGAGTGACGTGGCGAAATCCTGTCCATCGACCCGAGGAAGAGCCGGAGAGGAGGGCTGGAGAGGATCCGGACTCCACAAAAAGATCGGACTCTGATGATCTCTGCAACCACTCCTTTGTTATGTCAAAAAAAGGAGCACACATTTCTTGACTCATACATGCACAAAAAGATCAGACTCTGATGATCTCTGCAACAAGTTTATAATAAAAGATTTTCATTATATATCTAATAACTATAAAATAGAAATGTAAGCTTATAATTATTAATTTGAGGGGTAAAATAAAATTTTAAATGAAATTTTAATTCTACATCAAAAACTTCTATTTGATTATAGACCACAACTAATGGCGAAAATAAAATTGATCAAAAGACAAATAGTTCAATTATATAACTAATCTTATTAAAAAGAATGGAGAATTCTATTATGCGCACCTTCATACCATATACACCATTAGTTACGTCATTTTCTTTTTTGGTTATAATATTATTTTGAAATATTTGGTTATGACTTCTTTTTGCTTGATTGTGACTTTTTTAATTTTTTTTTTTTTAATAGTTATAACTCAGAAAATATAGAGTTATATCATTTTTTTATGCCCATAGTTTTTTCCTAAAAGAATCACTACAACAAAAAAGGGTTTTTATGGCGCGCAATACACGCTATAAAAACCCTTCTACGACATGTAACGCGCGTCATATTATGACCAGTCATGGAAAGTCATTCACTTTCAACGACATGCTTCGTACGCCATTAAAAACTATTTAACGGTAGATTTTGTGCGTCGTTGTTATTTTTTCTATGACGTGCTATAGTACGTCGTTAAAAACTATTTAACGGCAGATTTTGTGCGTCGTTGTTACTTTTTCTGTGACTACTTTGCACGACATTAAAAACCTTTTAACAGTAGATCTTGTGCGTCGTATTTTATTTTTCTACAACTACTTTTGCACGCCGTTAATTCAAAGGACAAACCACGGCGTTCATTACTTGTCGTTGAATATTTAATACAATGACCTATTTTGCCTACCGTAGATAGTCCAAGTTTCACAGTATTTTTTGCATGCTGTAGAATATGTATATATATATATATATTTTAAAAAAATCAGCAGGTTTTATTTCACCTATTCTGTATAATCTAAGAAAACATTACAAACAAATTTCACAAATATATATATATATATATAAGCATTAATCAAACACCAAACTATTGTTTCAAACATCCATAAAAAAACTATCCATAAGTTCTAAATATCCAAAAACTATCTATACATTCCAAAGCATCTAAAAACTACATTTCTAAACATAAAAAACTATCCCTAAGTTCTAAACCGTCCAAAATGTTCTAAATCATCCAAAAAAATATTGGATATTTCCTCAAGGATGAGAAATCAACAATATTGTTAGATGGGAATACAAGATTTGAACCCTCGTTCATGTATTCAGTTTCAGAAGGAATTGATTGAGCTTGTTGTGGACATGGAATGGACTCAACTGCATCTCAACGAGAAGTGTCAGCATCAGGTTTCTCTCTCTCAATTTGAACCTTGGGCTTGGGTTGGAATTTGCCACCGCTATGTCCTGAGATCAACCAGCTCAGCAAGATTAAATCAAAGGCTCTACCAAGACTAATCATTTAATATTTATCATCTTCTGTGGGTTCCACATTAACTTAACTGCATTTGCATCATAGTATCATACTCTCTCATAAAGTTGACAAGAGAACCAAACTATCAAAGTAACCATGATTCTACTCCATAGAAGGTTTACGATGTTCTAAACAATGGTGCCAACTTTAACTGGCACTACCGAATTGATTGATTCAATCAAGTATCAATATTCGAAGTATCTATTTGATGCACTAAATAGCACTCTGTAAGACTGTAACCAGATTTCTTACCCAAGGCTATTGACTCCAATGTACCCAAAACAATAAAAAAGATTGTAACCAGCTTTACACATTCAAGAAAGTATATATTGTGTATTAGTCTCACCGTTAAACTTGTGAACCCGATCAACACCATCAATGACCCGTATCTGTGAACTGCAGATGTAATGTGCAATTCTGATGAGCTTCCTGGTGCAAACTGTTAATTGAAAACTTATCAGCAAGTGGAAAGGCATCGAGCAAACATTTATGACTCATAAGTAAATGGTGCAAGGTGATAAGATTATACCAACTTCAGTTCAACCAACTCAAGTTCAAGACAGTATAACCCAAGTCAAGCAAACCAGAGGATAACTTCCCTAGCTCTAACAGAAACAGAATTAGTAACAGAATTAGTTATAGTGATATATGAATGTATAGATTGTAGAGGCGGTGGAGTAATAGTTAGTAAGTCAGTTACACTCTTGTATTATAAATATAGATGTACTGATTGATTATTAAGAATTGAATTGAAGTTTTCAGTTTCTTATCACAAGGACCATTGCAATGGAAACCGGTAAATAACTTTATGTGAAGTCAAAAAAATAAAGAAAAAGGATTCCACTTTATCTTCTATACCTACCATGTCCGCAGAAGTACATAGGATTGACAAATCAATTACCTGAAAACCAGTGATATTCTTTTGATGAGATTTCTTTTTCTTATTTTGCAGATTGATTTGAGCTTTTTGTTGCAACTTATTTTCTGGAAAAGAGGGGAAAAAGTTCAATAATAGTGACAGGAGAAAGAGAAGAGATAAAGACAGAACTATTTTCTGTACCAGAAGTGTTGTATAAGCGGCAGCTCCCCTTGTATGAACCAACCAGTGCACCCTTCAGAAATCAACAAATATTCATTAAGCCATATATAAAACACCCACATACTATAAAATGACATATCTACCCCTTTTTACTGGAGCAAAAGTAAATCAGAGGCTCTGTCTAGATATGGCCAACCTGACCATCTGGTGTATAGCAAGCAACAATGACCATCTCATGCAAATCATTCCAATCAACAACTTGACGATCAGGAATGCTCCATATGTAAACCTTAGCATCTAACGATCCACTGATAAAGTATCTATCATCAACAGGATTAAACTGGATGCAAGTTACTGTGTCAAGACAAATCCAAACAACAATCAAATAATTAGCTAATAGATCAACCAGAGCAATTAAAAGAATGTGTTTCTTCTGACTCATAATGTGGACACTGATCTTGTACAAAAAAATGAATAAAAAAGAAAAGGACTCCTAATTAGGTATTTTAAAAACACCTAAGAAGTTTTTGTAATATTTTTTAAACAGAAAACATTGATTTCTTTAACAATTGTTCAGGAAGGGTGTTCTCACCATTGGAAAAGGGGGTTCCAAACTCATCCAGTTTTCTGAGTACCATAATTAAAGGCCAAACAATGAGTTGAGGCAAAATGAGTATAACAGATCAATTACTTACCATAATCACTGTGCGAACAAAACCTTCAAACAAGACTTGCCAGACAAGTGCCAAAGCCACACAGTTTTGTCCATTGAAGATGAGAGCAAATGCTGAAAATAAAATTTTTGATAGTAAGATGTATTGATTACATATTGGACTAGCCAGAAGCCTGATCCCGTGATCCACAGGAAGCTCAATTGCTTAACTAAGATGCATATATCCATCTTCACAAGATGTCATATATAGAATAGACAATAAAAGACAAATACCAATAGATTTTTGAGGATACCCATGCGCTTCACTGAGGTTTTTACTCATTTGACATCAACATCCTTTACCTCAAAATTTCATCAATACAACAGTTATAACAAATTATCCACCTTATCTGATTGAGGTAAAACATTGATAGAAACCAGTGCCCAAAATAAGGATGAAAAGATAATAACATGTGATGAAAAATGAGTATCTAACACATCCTTTTTTGTTGAGTATCTAACACATCCTTGAACTACTGAACCTTAAACACCATACAATTTCGTGATGTCTCATTATGAAAAACCGGAATTCCTAGTCATTATAAAGCATTCCCCATTGATTTGCCAAAATACAGCCCCCTCAGCCATATGCAAATTGCCTCTATGTTAGCATTCCCCAACTCGTAACGCCCCAAAGGTGTGAAGCATGCTCCACAATTTTTTTGGCACGAACACCTCAACCTCAACCGCAATGCATTTTGTTTTCAGATATCTTTTCAGGCTAAATGAACATGTCAAATGGTAAATGGTTGAATTATATAGTTTTGAACAAACTAACTAGTTAACTAACAACAAAACATATCAGAGGTTCAATAGTAAGCCTCGCAGACTCGTAGCAAACATTTCAAGAGTATCTGCATATAATGTTTCCTCAAGATAAGCTTGATCAAAAAATTATACATTGGCCTACTTCATTCACCACCCATACAACATGCAACATACAACAAAAGATTAATTCTTTGGACTCTGCAAGAATAATAATCATATGCTACAATGCTACGAAAAATGCAAATAAAATACTACCAAAATAGCAGTGTAAGTGTAGCTAACTTGAGACTTGGACCATGACAGGTCAAGTACATCATCAAGATGCACTTGGAATGAACAAATTGTTTTTTTTTTTCTTTCTAAAAGTGCAAACACAGTCTCTGGAACCATAATGTGATCCAGGCTCACTGATTTCCGGCTTATGGAAGATCTTCCTCTTCTCTTATTCTCTGGAAGGCTGTCCAAATTTGGTGACAAAGAAATTGGTTCTGGTGACCCATTGGCAACAAATAAAATATTCAAATTTCCATCTTCCGGCTTATCTATTAGCAGATCACCTTTTCTTTCTGATTTCTCAAAATAAACTCCATTCCCAAATTTCATCATAATAAATCATTTTTAAATCATAACAGATTTAGGTGTTTTAATTTGATAATCAAATTTCAAACCAAATACCAAACAAAAAAATCCATTGATCTAATAATAAACTAGTGTCTGCCATGTATTTGTATTTGTATTTGTATTTGTATTTGTTTTATTACATATAAAATTTTTTGAGCTTTTTTCATTGGGAAATTACCTAACAACTAGAGACAATTAAATATAAAATTGCTTGAGCCTTTTTCATTTGGTAACAAGTGGTAGTGGATAGATATGAAATAAAAAAAGGTGAAAGAAACTTGGTGAAATGCCCAGCAAAATTACAATATATATATATTGGAGGGGACACTATTCTGAAAACTTTTGAATTCTTAGTTACTAGCAAGCATAGACATAGAGGCTTATCAAGGGCTGAGGGGGCCATGACCACCCCAAGCCATAGCATAGTTCTGTCTCTGGATCCAGTGGACGAAAAACTAGAAATCAATCCTAAAAAGTAATATTTTCCCACTCCATATATTTAAGCCATTTTTGAACTGAACTTTCAACAAAGTAACAACAACAATCTAATTAGGCAATTAAGGCTCCAGCTGCAACCTGCAGGGAAAATTCAATTCCAGCTACTGCCCATTTTTCAGTCATAATATCTAAACATCTTATTTAGAATTAGAAGTCTGTCACACCCCAACTCCAGGCATGACCAGCCGTGGCCCACAGGGACTAAGCCCAAGGCACACGTAAGCCTTAAACATGAACCCAAAATCACAAAGAATAAATGTGACGATAGCCCATAAATAAATAAATCAAAACCCAATCCACTGACATGTCACAAACTAAATGGTAACACCAACCACAACCAACTTCCAAAAATATATACTAAATGGGACACAAACCGCCCACAAAATAAAATAATTCCAAATCAAACCCAACCACAATATATGCACAAAACTCGACATAACAAGCTAAAACAAAATAAATGAATGTCCTAGAGGTCCATGCAATCGAGTCCCCACTACGCCACAAGTCCACTTTAAGTCCTTCTAACACCTGGAAATGATAAACAACTAAGTTAGCTGATAGCTTAGTGAGTAGCAACCTGGATAGTATATATAGTTTTGAAAACAGGGATCAATTCCAAAATAAGATATATATCACAGAAACTAGATTGGCATATAGTTTGGTAAAGAGAATCTGTTTCAAAAAGAAGGTTTCATAGTTCAACAGTTAAAATACTCATTGTAGACACCTCATTTTTGACCGACCTTAAGACTCAGACGTCATCGATTGAGCGCTCGGTGATTATGCATGTTTGTGCTTGTTTCGAGTTTCCAAAGTTTTTGGCTGAGTGCCTTGCCTCCGGGCCTCTAAACTCTTTGTGTTTTAGCTCGGTTTGTGGACCAAGCCTTGTTTTCCTTCCCTGGAAGGAGTGGGAGGTTTGTAGACCACCTTTTTGTGGTCGTAAACCACTTTTTCCCCTTAGAGACTAGTTTCCGATTTTCGGAGTCTTCGGTCGCGCGCCTTGTCTCCGGACCGCTTAATGTTCTCCTTTTGGCTTGGTTTTTGAACCATGCCTTGTTGCCTCTGCCTAGAGGGACACTGTGGTCTGGGAGACCACTTTTAGGGTCGTTGACCACTTTTGGTGCTCGTAGACTAGTTTTTGGGTCTCTCGGCTGCGCGCCTTGCCTCCCAGACTTTCGTCTTGCATCCTTTTTGGTTTGTTTTTGGTACAAACCTTGTTTTCCTTGCTTGAAAGGTGGTACAGGGGTGAGAGACCAGTTCTTCCCCTTGGAGACCACTTTCCTTCCTGGTCGGCCACCACACTACCACATTGCTTTCATGCTGCAGACCACTCCTCCCCTGTGGCCGACCACTTTCTTCCCTAGCCGACCACTTGCACAGGTCAGCCGACCAGTGTAAGTAGCTGGCCGACCACCCAGCTTTCCAGCTCATGCCTGGAGATATTTTCTTTCCAGCTGTAATAGCTGGAGGGCTCTAAAACCATCATCCATACACGTGTATGGAGGGATGGCTCTAGACCTTAAGTTTGTTCAACAAGCTTACACTTTGGTTCTCTATATAAGATAACCTCCCCCCCCCCCTTCTCCAGGGTCAGAATTTTGTGCTTGAGAGATATAGATACACATTTGTCTCTATCTTGCTCTTTGCTTCACATTTGTGCTTCCAAAGTGCCTTTTTATCACACTTTAACACACAAACACGTAGTAAAACACCATACTCTTGGAGCTGAGGTCCCTTGAAGTTGTTTTTGAAGTTTTTGGACTGGTTTTGGCCAGAAAAAGCTGCTGGAGTTGTTGCTCTAGAGTTGTTCTACAAGGGTGAGAAACTAACATTTTAAACCCTTATTTTTGCTTAAGCTTTTGGCCCTACTTGTATGTTGTTTTAGACCTAACTTTCTACTGCAAAAAGGTCTGATTTTTTATGCTTGAAATGTTTGTTTAAGACCTTGTTGGTGATGGGGGTGGTCTACCCCATCTTGTGCCTTGTTTGGCCTCGTTTTGTGCATTCCTTTTAAGCTATTGGGATCACCTTGTTTTGGCCTTCTCACCACTGAAACTCAGAGGAATTTCAGTGGTGGAAATGGTGTTTTAAGGTCCCAAATAGGAGAGGGTCGTCCCCTCTCCTTTTGTTTTATATGCTTGCTTTGTATGCCTCATGTTTGAGCATGTTTGTTAAGCTTATGTTGGCTCCATCTTAGCATGTATTTGGGGTTATTTTGACATGGCATACCACTGTTTTGACTTGATTTTGTCACTCCTTGCATGCCTTATACACTTGTAGTGTAAATTTTGCAAACTAGTCTTGCATGCCTCATGAAGTAGCGTGTCTTTCTAGCTTGTGTTGAGTCCATCTCAGCATGTTCTTGGTGTTTTTTTGCCATCATATACCTCTGTTAAGGTTTGGTTTGATAGCCCCATGCACGCTCCATGCACTTGTAGTGCAATCCCACAAATTAGCCTAATGTGTATCATGCTTTAGACTGTCATTCTAGCATGATTTTGGCTTAACTCTAAGAAGCTTTTGTCCATATTTTAGCATACTCTAGCTCTGATTTTTGTTGTTTTGGTCATGCATGCCATGCTTTGTATAGCTATAATGTATTCTAGCTTATTAGCTTTGTGTATCAAGTCCACTAGCATGCATTGCTTGGGCTATTTACATGATTTGGCATCATTTTTTATATGATTTCAGTTCATGTTTCATGTTCATGCACTCGCATTTGTCACTCTTTCAATGCTTTGAAGGGTTGGTCCTTTATGCCCTAAACATGAGTCATTGTGTATGCCTTCATGCCTAAGCTTGTGAGCTATCATTTCAGTGTATTTTTGGGGTTATTTTGCCATGAGATAACTCTAATTTTTATTGGTGAAGCCATCTCATGCTTGGTCTTGGTAGGTGTAGTGTAATCCTCTCTTTTGGCCTTGCCTATTCCATGCTTCATGCCCTCCATGCTAGCTTATTTTGGCTTCCTTCCATACATGTTTTAGCATCATTTTGACATGCTCTAGGACTGTTTTGGGTTATATTTGCCATATGCTTCATGTATTGCATAGCTGTAGTGCAATTGGCCTTGCTAGCTTTGAGTTTTGAGCACTATAGCATGCTTCATTTGTGTTGTTTGGATGATTTGGCATCACTTAACATGACATTTCAGAGCATGTAGCATTGCCATGTTCCCACTTCTTTCACCCTTTGAGTGCCTCTAAGAGTTGTGCATTGTTGCCTTGCTTATGGTCTAGTATATATGCATGTATGCTTAGACATTTGAGCCCCCATCTCAGCATGTTTTGGTCTTTGCTTAAATCTATTTGAGCTCTGTCCATGCTTGGTTCATGCATTTGTGCCATGTATTGCATGCCCCCTTTATAGTCCTCTTTGCTAGCCACATGCCTTAAGGACTTTAGTATGCTATACTTGTTTTGATTGGATGATTTGGCATCATTTCTTACTTAATTTCAGTGCCTATAGTATTGCTACACTTCCATATTTATCACTCCTTGAGCACTCTTGAGGGTTGTGCTCTTAGACCTAGTTGATAGGCCAATGCATGTGCATGCTTGTATATGTTTTTGTGCCTTCATTTCTTAACATTCTGGCCACTGATTTGGGCATGGCTGAGGTCTGTCCACATTCGGTTTAAGTCCATTTAGCATGTTTATTTGCATGTTGCTTGCATGCTTATGTTACATTGCATTGAGTATGCCATGTTGTTCTTAGCATTTAGCATGTTTATTTGCATGTTGCTTTCATGCTTATGTTATATTGCATTGAGTATGCTATGTTGTTCTTAGCATTTAGCATTGTGTATGCCATGTTGTTTGCATGCTTATGTTACATTGCATTGCATATGCCATGTTGTTCTTTGCATTGTGTATGCCATGTTATTCTTTGCATTGTGTATGCCATGTTGTTAATTGCATTGTGTTATGCACGTTGTTGCTTGCATTGTGTTTGGATTAGGTGTTAGTCCAAACACGAGAAACGAGGGACGTTTCATACTTGAAGTGATGAAACATGCCTCAATTCTCGGTCGCCGACCCTCTTGATCATACATGATAGAGGTCAAGGCTTTATGTGTTATGTGTGCATTCATTTCATATTGAATTGTGCAATTTGGTTTCTCGGCCATCACGCATCGAGATGCGCGATTGGTGGCCCGAGAGTCGAGAACCGCACTCCCTTGAGCTCATGAAATGATGGGGAGGGTGGTTGTGCACACATACCTTGCAAATACATTGCCATGCCCTTTCTTGCTCTCTGTTGCAGCAAACTGGAGAAGTGTAGCAACAAGTGGTCAGCAAACCAGAAAAACTAGCTGGCCAACCACTTTTTCTGGTCTGCAGCAATGGTAACTAGTCGGCAGGCGGTTGGCACCCCCAAAAAGTGGTCGGCCCCCCCAAAAAGTGGTCGGCCATGCTCTTACAGGCCCCCAAAGTGAGTTGGAAGCTTTCTGGAGCTTGGTGCAAGTTTCTGAGAACAATTGCAAACAGAGGCAAGTTGGGGCATCGCGACGGATTTCCGAACAAGGCGACCGAGCATGCATGCACTCTTCTCCCCCTGAGGACATCTCTTTACTGCTTTACTAGGCTGATTTGATTAGCTAGTTATGCTTCGACTTTGTACTTAAGTAGTTAATGCGTTTAGCTGCTTATTTGTATTGTAATAACTAGTTAGTTAATTAGCTTCATTTTGTACTTAATTAGTTAACTAGGATTAGTTAATTAGTTGGCTTGTAATAATTAGTTTAATTAGCTTAGATTAGCTAGTTAGCCTATTATTCGGACCCTCCATCGAGAGGGCCAACTGTTGTAATAAGCGTGCGTATGTGTGATGCATGTCTTCCAACCCCCATTTCTTTCTCCCTTTTACTTACCTACTTTCAGTGGTTAGTTCTAGGGCATCTTTCAATTAGCATCCTTATGCTTTGCATGCGTGCATCATTCATCTGTTTTGCATGCACCGGGCTCGGCTCATCATACAAACTACATTGAATTTCAATATACTTACTTGAATACGTGTTCAACAGCATGTTATCAAGTTGCATTTCATATGCCATTCTAGAAAGTCGAGCCTATCTTAGTTGCATTTTTACATGTGTTACATTAGCCATCTTAACATAAACTAGGATCATGCATGATTTCTAACTAGTTCTCTGTTTTGGCTCGGAGTACATTGTGAGTGTTTACGCTTTAGCATACTGCATGAGATGTGTATGTTGCCATGCTAGCATGCTTGCCATGAGGCTAATTGCTTAAGTGATTAACTACTTGAATGCCTGTGGGTGAAGGTTAGATTGCTTGAATTGGGACAATTCATCAAACTGTGTATTTTAAGCCCACTTGAGAGTGGCAAAATCCGCAACTTAGCCTACTTGCGAGTAACAATTTCAAACTGTTTTCAAACAAACGAACACGAAATGTTTTGTTCCAACTTAGGCGATCTAGTCTATACTTGTATACTGTGCGCATCACATAGTGATTCTAGGTTAATAACCGGAATAAGAACACATATGTTTTCAAAAACAACATATCATGTTAGTAAAGGCCGATTTTTGATCGGGCGAGCAGGGGTGCTCATTGCATGACCTTCCCCTCTCGTACCCAAGTTCCCGAGCCGAGGCAACTTTGGTGATGACGGACACGTGGCCTTAGGCACGAGTTAGGGTTTCCTAAATTTTCTCAAAATAAAATATTTAGGTAGCGACTCTGTATCTGGCAAAGCAGTCCATGTTTGGCACTTCTTTATTAAAATTAGTTTTTCAAAACGATTTGTTGAATTTGGACTCTTTGGTGATTTATCAGTCTTGCATTGCACTTTGCAAGATTAGATTCAGAACCGTGACACGAGTCCGAACTGTAGTAGCTAAAGAACAAACGAATTCACGCCCTCGCGTGCGGAGCCGAGAGGTCTCAGGCGGTCTACACTCATGTCTCTCAAGAACATGATAAATGACATTTTTCACTTAAAACAGATTACAGCATGAACACCAATAATTTTCTGGGTACCAAGAAATAACAAGTAGCATGCTACACAATTCTCAAGGCTATAAGCCCCGTTGGATCCAATATCGAACTAAGAGTCATTCTCAGGGTGGCAACCCGGGCCTTTTCTCTAAGACGATCCGATTGAAGGTCACCTAGCTTAACCTAGGTCTTTTCCTTACAATCGTTGAGCACTAGAGTCATCACGGCCCAACCCGGATTTGTTCCCTAGTGGCCAGAGTCACCACACACAGTTGAATAATTTCCCTGGACTAAATACACAGATACTCCCAATAATCAATACACATTAGTTTCGCAAAACATTGTAGTTCATCATTTTAAACGTGAGACCAAAACAAATAGTTTACAGTATGCCAAGTTCACATATGTTTCAGAAATAATTTGATTCCATTGATAATATAATAATTTATCAAAACAGTTTCGTCCTTAAACGACAATTTAATTTTCCAACAGTTCAGGGTAGGGGTACATTTATAAAAATATATAGCATGAAACTACTCACCTGAAAACGAAATAATATAATCCTCGAATAAAGTGTGAAAGTCCAATTAGTGCCCTGAACCAAATATGAAAACTACACGTCACTACTAATTTAAAAATACTAAAGAATAAGAACTAAGTAACTCCAAACTAAAGCACACTAACACGGCTCAACCCAACTCAACGTTATTCTTAAATATTACCTAAGTTCATGTTCTTCAAGGTCTAAAATCACTCATGACATGGGTTCAAATCAAAACTTAATTAAAAGTAACTTTAAGATAAAACAGAATTTTAAACTAGTTTTTCCAATCTATTCGCTAACTTTGAAAATTAAAAACCCACTCCACGTTGTTCGAAAAATTCTAAAACCCTCCAGATATCAACTAATATATCCTAAGTTTCAAACCCAAATGGTTTCACTTGATTTTCTTGTCAAAATAATTATCTACAATTAATTATATCTAAACAGGTTGTTTTCTGCAACACTTTAAAGAAATTAATGGTTCTCTTAGTATACATGAGAAATCAATGCAAGATCAAAAATGTACGAAACTAAACTCGTAACCGGTTCTAATGACACTAATTTGATAATTTTCGGATCTATACCCAAAGAGAACAACACTCCCGAACTTACTGTTCACAACCAGTTTTCTGGACATATTTGAACGCATCAGATTATATGGATTTTGACTCCCAAAAATTATGAAAAAATTCAGATATGCAGTTCAATATGTAATTAACCTACTGTAAAAATTTCAGTTCAAAATTCATACGTTTGATATGGTTTCTTGATTTTTAAAGTTTGTGATTTTGTATAGAATTTTTGGACTAAGAATTACACCATTTATTATACATAAATTTAACTCCTCAGATTTCTTAACAGTATATATATATACACAAAACACTATCCCAATCAGCCAAATATTTCATAGCCATGCCCAACACATGTACCTACTTCACCGATTTGACCCGTCAACTACGCAGCAACTCACAAGAAGAAGAAAAAGATAGTGAGGGAATTAAAAAAAAGAAGGGATTTACCTTGCTAATGGCCACCACAAAACTCAACAATTTTTAGCACTTTTCACCTAATGACCTTGACATCTCTCTCCCTCTCTTTACCTCTCACTGCTGCTCTAAAAGTTGTGGGAAACAATAACATAAGAATTAGGGTTTTGTTATCATTTATATATATATATATATATATCTAACCATAAGGCTCTGATTTTATTATTATTATTATTATTATTATTATTATCTTTTAAAATTGTGGACACCGATAACAAATTTATTTTAGGTTTAAAATTAATTAAAAGACTCTCCAAATATTTAATTTGCACTTAAAAGATTCACAATAAAATATTTGAGGTTTGTAAAATTATTATTACTTAATTATTATTTGATTTGTATATTCGGGTTTTCACATAAATTTTGGATTGCTTATAGTTATATATACCTTCTTTTTTTTTCTTTTCTTTTTTTCTAATTTAAAAAAAAAAAATTTGGAAGTGAAAATATTGTAGTTGAACTTGATTCCTTGCTAATCTTAGTGAATTACATTGAGGAGATAAGATTTGACAAAATTGTCATTCGTCTTCTATTATTATAAATCCTTTAGTTAGGTATATTCTATCAACTTGATTAACCATTAAGATTATCAATAAGCACTTTACTTTTTTTGTATTTTTGTAATTTTTTTGGGGTACTACTATGGCATATCAGGCTGGATGGATATATTGATCCAATTCTTATTCGACACAAATTGCTCTTATATGATATTTCATCAAGTGGATGGTGCATGCACTTGATATTCCATAGTAATGAAGGGCATTAATACAAAATATATAGGGAAAATCGTAGTAATGAAGGGCATTGATACAAAATATAGTGACTTTTCTGTGATTTTGTTTTTCTTTGAAGTGTCATAGGCACCACATTTTTCCCCCATCACATCTGTTTAGTGATAGACACATTCATGCACCTTCTTTACATCCTTGTCATCTTTTTTTCTTTTTCCCCTTTTGTTTTTCTGAAAAAATAAATTATTAGAGGATTTGTAGAAAGTCAAATTAAGTTTTGGTGAGGAGGGATTGAACAGATGATCTGAAGTGAATTTGCTTGAAAGCCCATTGTAGTTTGTTTACTTTGCCCAAAATAAATCTGTTTACATTCACACACACACAAGCACAATTTTGTGCATACACACTGATGCTTTGTCATCGTCCCTATTAGCCGATATGCATGATTTTAGATTTTTTATATCGATTAGATTTTTGATATCGATATTTACTAAGATATCAGTTGATACTATTCAATACCAGCAAAATATGAACACATTGTTTAAAACCATGCCTCCTACACATGATTTCTAGAATCCTCTACTGACTGTTCAAAAGCTTGATGAATCGATATTGTAATTTCTCTATTATTTACTAGTCAAGCAGGTACTGAGAAAAAAAAATTTTGTTTGTTTGTTTTTTATTCTTCTTCTATTTTTCCTAGCTAATCTTGGCTTGAGGAGATGTACACTTAGAAAATGTTATGCAACTAGAATGTGTATTGAAAATTATCTCAAAATTAAAGTGTGTATAATGTAAAATTAAAATTAAATTAATAAAATATGGGCCACACCAAATAATTTGGTCCACTAATGCAATTTTTAGATAATTTTTTCTAAATATGTAACATTAATATATGACCAGGTAAAGAACAATTACTCCAAATTGTGAGAAATCTATCTGATATTATCAACAAAAAATCATAATATGAATGAAAATCACCAAAAAATTGAAATTAAATTAATATTGGTAATTCAAGTTCCATGATAATATGGGTTTAAAAGCTAAAAAGAAACAAAATTTGAGAGAGCAGAGCAAATACCAGGGAGGGGGACGAGAAGCGTTGGAGTAATGAAGGATCACTGTTAGTCATTCCAAAGTTGCATGAAGTTGCATAAAAGTTGCATGAAGTGGCAACCCTAGCCTATACCCAAAAAAATCACATCCCAAGAATAATGAAGGCTCACCCCAATTTTTTTGGACTGATTGATCTCATCAAAATTAGAACTGCCCTTTGGCTCAAAGCATCAGTCAAGGATTTCCCCTTCTCAGTGGATGATATAGTTTTCAAGTGGAAACAGATCAGGGGCTGAATGAGTATCCCAGCTGCTGTTTGCTGTCTGTTTTTGGCTCTGTTCTGGCTCTGTTTTGATCTGTTTTGGCTTGCTGCTGCTGCCTCTGCTACTGCTGGTTTGGTCCTCTCAGTTTTATGGTTTGTGTTAGCCTGCTGTTGGCTGATCTTAGAACTCTGTTTGGTCTGTTTGAGAAATGTATAAAGGGGTGTCTGAAGTAGGAGATGGGTTCTGCTAAGTGAGAGTTATTCTGTTATGCTGGGCACTATGCAGGTTTGGTCTGCATCTGGTTGCAATGCTGGGCTCTATGCTCTTTGCTGGGCACTATGCATCTCGTTGCCGACTATCTTGTTTTCTCCCTCTTCTCTTTGTTGGTGTTTTGAAGTTTGTGTGTACATCTTGTACCTTTTATCATCATCAATAAAGTTTGCCTTTCTTTGCCGTTCAAAAAAAAAGAATAATGAAGGATCAATGTTAGTCATTCCCAAGTGTATCAAATAAAAGCATGATTAGAGCATCAAAAATGTTATTTTCAAAAATTACAATTTCTTGAATCCAAACAAAACCTAATTGCATACAATAATACAACATAAAAGGATTTTTTTTTTAAATAAATAAAAAAGAAGGCTCTAAATCATTATAGTGATACGAACTATGAAATTTCAGTATACCCAAAAACAATGTAACATAACATCACAACAATAGCTCCACAAATTATGACCATAAATACACAGCATTGGATACCCAACCAACTAGGTATAGACCTCCCACCACATTAGAAAAGTCTACCATATCATCATCAAAACACAAAACAAGCAAAACTATAAGACAAATTCAGCTGTAAAAGCTCATCATGAATCCAACTAGGGAACAAGTATCCCCAAAAATATAAATAAATAAAAAGTACTCACATTGCTTTTGAAAGAAAAAATTACTTCAACTTTTGCATTGAAAAGCAAAGTAAAAGCACTTCCAATCTAAAATTCAACTATAATTCAACCCTATCATCTAGAATAGAGTAAAATTACAGAGAAATAATGGGTTAGAGAGAATCACACTTGTGTGGTTCAGTGAACTTGACATTCTGGACCGCGGCGAGGCCAGAGAGGTCATGTTCCATGTATTCAAACACAAGGTAAAGGCTTGAAGACATTCCTGTTTCATTCTTCCTTTGATAATCTTCATACCCACATACCTGCCAAAAAAATAAACAAACATACAACTTAATTTGGGATGTAAAATATATATATATATATTTTTTTTTAAAAAAAAAAATTCAACACCAAATCAAATCTTTCAGTTTTGTTGGTTGAGGTTCCCAAACAAACAAGGAACATGCTACGCTTTGATATTGTCCATTTGGTGTAGATGAATGATTAACATGAAATTTTAAAAGATTTTATAAAAAAAAAGTATAGAATTTCATATTAAAAATAAGTGAAGAAAAAAGTAAAAGTTATTCTATAAATGTCACCCCTCTTAATTTTTATTACAAAATGAGTAGTATTTAGTCACTTATTATAGCGATCTCGGTTTCTCTTCCTTTGATTGTTGTATTCCATACTTAGGCTCTGTGGAGTTGGTGGTTGTATATCTTGTTGTTATCCTTTAATTCCGTATGTTTGAGTTTTAGATGTATTGGGCGTGTTTCGAACAGGTTGGTTGAGCTTCAGTCCCATTCCTTGTTGCCCAGAATTTTGGTGGTATGCTCGAGCGGGTCCCTTTGCACTCAAGCGGAGTTTGATTTTTGGCTGTCCGCTCGAGCGGATCTTCTTGCGCTCGAGCGAGGTTTACACACTCTCAGCATTTCGTGCCTCTGCAAAACTTCTGCAGGTGTGTTTTTCACGCTTGAGCAGATCTTTTTACGCACGAGCGGGTATCTTGGCGCTCGAGCGGGTAATTCATTGTCTGTAAAAGTACTGGAAGGGGGAAATCTACGCTCGATCGGCTTCCCCTTTGTGCTCGAGCGGGTGTGTTTTGCAGTTGTGTCTTGGCGCTCAAGCGGGTACCCTTCATGCTCGAGTGGGTCCAGTTTTTATGCTTGACGCTCGAGCGTCCTATTCTCCACTCCAGCGGGTCATACGTATATCAGATATCAACTGGGTGATTTTAAACCACTTTTCAACTTCCATTCTCTCTCTTACTTTTCCGAAAAGCCATTTTTGAGAGCTTCTCTCACTACTTTCTCCCTTCTCTCTTAGAATTGATCTAGTATGAGTGATTTTCTACCCTTGGGCCTTTGTAAAAAGTGTGGGGATCGTTGAGGGCTACATTTTGATCCGAGAATCTTGGGATTTGGAGCATTTTTGATTTCTTCATCACCTTCATTGAGTCTCATCTCTTGAGGTAGGGATTCCTACTCATTCTTATATACTTTAACATAGGTGTTGAGCTATTTGTACAGATGGTTGATATTTGGAAAGTTAGGGTTTGAGTTGTGTTTTATAAAAAGAGGGGTTTTGTCCTTTGGACTCAAATGTGTATGTTTTGGGTCTTAAAAGGTGATTATTGATGTTAGTTGATGATATTTAGACCTTTGGGTCAATATTGAAAAAAGGGGAGAAAATGCCATGTTTGGGTATATTTGAGTCATTTGTGTAAATAATGACATTTGTTGGGAATTATGAAATTGAGTTGAAAATAATGAAATTGGCTCAATATGAGATGGAATAGTGAAGTTAGATTTATTAATCGCTCACTTTTGAAAATGTTGATAAATTATCTGTTGATGCATTTATTATCTGTTTAGAAATAATTGCTTTGGGCTATCGGTGGAGGATAGTCTTGATTGTTGTAGACAATGCATGATGATTAGGCAAACTAAAACTAATCAATTGAGTAAGCCATCGAATATGGCAGTTGATATAATACAGAAAAATTATGTATTGATTGAGTGAACTTGTATATGATAATTGCTTATATACATTGTATTGTGTGAGAGGAGATATGGGATGTACTCCATGGTTTAGGGGAAGATGGGGGATGAACCTCTAAACCGGATTTTGTTTGATATTGATACAGCACCAAAATGTGTATCATTTGTGAAGCATAGAAGTGTCTTTGTTTGATATTGATACAGCACCAAAATGTGTATCATTTGTGAAGTATGGAAGTGTTTTTGATAATTGCTTATATACATTGTATTGTGGGGGAGGAGATGGGGGATGTACTCCACGGTTTAGGAGAAGATGGGGGATGGACCTCTAAACCGGATTTTGTCTGAGATTGATACAGTACTAAAACGTGTATCTGTTATGAAGTGTGAAATATTTAATATGAGTTATTATCTCATCTGAAATAGAAATACTGCTGATATGAGATGTGATCTCATTTAAATTGTTTGGCCAGGTTCTGAGCCATAGTTATGAAATGATTCATATGAGTTAAACATTTATCATTGGCCAATGTTTTAGTTATTGCTTATATCATGTTTAGTATATCTCTACTGGACGTTGGCTCACCCTATATGGGACATCATTTTCAGGTACAGGTAGCATGCCACCTCCAAGGACGTAGCTTGAGAGGCTTAGTGGCTGGGTCATCTTTTTGATTACATTTTTGTATTACATATATATCAAGCCAAGGGCTTATTTTGTATAGAGTTAGTACTCTTCCTTTTGTAACCAAGTGTTGACTTGGAAAGCTGTAAGCCCGTAGGGCATTTGTTTTTGTTGTTAACATGTAATACCCTTGTAAGAAATACTCTGATGAAATGTATTTAAGCTTATTCTCTTGTCTAAGCATGTCAATATTGTATGATTTATGGGTTTATTTTGATAACGTTACACTTATCTTCTAATGTATAAAAAATTTAATATAAAATTTTAGTTAGTTCTACTTTTATTAATATAAAAAAAAATTAAATTGAAACAAATTACATGTTTTGAAAAAACAAACCAAAAATAAAAATTTCAGTCGCATTGAATGATTTTTTTTGGAGGGAAATAATCAATAAGTCCTATACTGCTCTTAATATTACTAACGATCGAGTCTTATCAAATTTCAATGTTGACAATTAATTCTATTTGTGATAAAAAGTTTTCAAAAAATCCATTACTCCATAATGATGTGTCTTATCTCAATTTTACCCTTCCTATTTAATATGAACAACAATTTAAAATTTAAAATTTTAATTGTAAAAATTATCAATCTTATACTTATAATTTTGTTTATGAAAAATCATTTAATTTGAAAAATTAAAAATAATTTCATTATAAAATTTCTAATAAATTAAAATTATTTATGGACTTTTTTGTTCATATTTGAATGAAAAAGATAAAATGAAAATAAAATATACTATACCAGTAACGTTTTTCTATGACTTTTTTTTTATTACGATTTTTATAAATTGTTATTAAAACTTATAATTAATAACGTTTTTCTGTGACGAATTTTTCAAACTATTGCTAAAAATTGTAAATTACCAACTTTTTTTACGACGATTTTTTTAAACAGTCACTAAAACTTATAATTAGTGACATTTTTTAAATTGTCGCTGAAAATTAATAATTAGTGACATTTTTTAACAGTGTTTGATGAAAAATGTCATTAACTATCACATGACTTATTAAACAATAAATTCACTTATTAAGACCTACACGTAAGTCTCCCAAATACTAATTTGAGAAATTTTGTGATTTTGCACCTTGGAAAAGATGCATGAGGTAAGATTTCACTCATTGTTGACACTTTGCTAAGTTAAAAATTGTTTAAGCTAAATGTGATAGGTTACCCTCCAAAATGTAGTTTGATTTTGATTTGTACTTTAATCACATATAATAATAAACAAAAAAATTTAAAACCAAACATCACATAACAACTGTTCAAAAAAAAAAAATCATAGAAAGGCTACATGTGGTAATAGGTTGAATTAGTCAATAAATTACAAAAAGATTCACTACAAGAAAGAACAGCTTCGTCGACTAATTTTGCCGACTAAACTCAATTTAGTCGCCAAAGGTGTACACATTAGCTACTAAAAACGTTTTGGTCGCCAATGGTACACACATTAGCTACCAAACAATATTTCGTCGCCAAATAAAGACGTATTAGCTACTAAACCGTTTTGGTCAGTAAATGTGACCTACTTCGCTACTAATGTTGTCACGACCCAAACCCGCCCCGAGAAGGTTGGCATCGTAACCGGCCAGTAATCCTAGATTACCACAGGCCTTTCTGTACAAACATACATAACCGGGGCTTGCGGAAGCGAAAAACAATAACCACTAATAGTCCAAAGAGCTGTGCATTTATATGAACATACATTACATGCCAAAAATGTTAATTTACCCACTACATTACATCACATATAATCAAAATTCATATGCAACACATAGGCAAAAGCCACAGATACAACAAGACGAAGCTCACAAAACGGCCTTCCAGGCCTAGCCCTGGCTCGGAGCACACAAAACACTTGTTAGGCTTCAAAATAGCGGCTCGGCTCAAGAACCCGCCTAGGCTTGACTTCCAGAATGCTCACCTATAATACATATATACAAACAATGAGCTAAAGCTCAGCAAGTAACATTAAAGTAAAGAGGTTAGTGAATGAAGTCCGACATTTTCATAAATCCACAATAAATCAATCATAAACATATATCAGTCATCAGTCATTATAAGAACATACGTAATGGCATACTCCACAGAACCTTTCATAACAGTCTATCAGTCAACAGTCTACGAGATCTCGTA